ATTTCGGATTGAGGAATCATGGAGCCGGGTTCGGATTGAGGAATCGGATAGCCGAGTTCGGATTGAGGAATCGAATCCATTACATTCAGAGGAATCGGTTTAATACCGATTTGGGATTGAGGAATGAATCCCGATCTTCTGATTTATTAATCAGAGATCCAAAACAATTTAAAAACAGGAGAGTAATTTTCGGATTGAGGAATCAGGATTTATTTGGGATTGAATGGAGAGGCCGATTTCGGATTGAGGAATCAGAGCCGATTTCGGATAAGGAATAATAAAAGATTTCGGATTGAGGAATGAGAGCCGATTTCGGATTGAGGAATCAGAGAGCCGAGTTCGGATTGAGGAATTAGGAGATTACATTCGATTTCGGATTACCCTTGGGAAAGGTATGAATTGAGGAATTCTCCTGATTTATTTATTAACACAAGGAAAAGAATTTATTATAATTTTATAAAAAAGGAGGCCGATGAGGAGGAAATGGATAGCGGAGTCGGATTGAGGAATCAGAGAGCCGAGTTCGGAATTCCAGGGAATCCATTACATTCGGATTGAGGAATGCTAATACCCTTGGGAAAGGTATGGGGAATCTTCTCTCCTGATTTATTTATTAGGACAAACAAAACAATTTATTATAATTTATAATAAAAAGGAGGCCATGAGGAGAATGGATAGCCGATTTCGGATTGAGGAATCAGAGAGCCGAGTTCGGATTCCAATCAATCCATTACATTGAGGAACGGCTAATACCCTTGGGAAAGGTATGAATCCTCTTCTTCTCTCCTGATTTATTTATTAACACAAACAAAACAATTTAGGAATAATTTATAATAAAAAAGGAGGATTGAGGAAATGGATAGCCGATTTCGGATTGAGGAATCAGAGAGCCGAATTCGGATTGAGGAATCAGAGAATCCATTACGGATTGAGGAATCTAATACCCTTTGGGAAAGGTATGAATCCTCTTCTTTTCGGATTGATTTATTTATTAACACAAGGAAAAAACAATTTATTATAATTTTAATAAAAGGAGGCCGATTGAGGAATCGGAGAATGGATTCGGATTGAGGAATTACATTCAGCCGATTTCAGATTGAGGAATCTTGGGAGAGCCGAGTTCGGATTGAGGGAATCGGAGAACCAAACAATTTCGGATTGAGGAAAAAGGAGAGACGAGTTACCAGATTGAGGAATTGAGGAATCCTCTTCTTAATTCTCCTGATTTAGGATTAAGAACAATTTCGGATTGAAAGAGCCGATTTCGGATTGAGGAATTTAGAATAAAAAGGAGGGATGAGGAGGAATGGATAGCCGATTTCGGATTGAGGAATCAGAGAGCCGAGTTCGAATTGAGGAATCGGATCCATTACATTCAGGAATCGGAGAGCTATTTACCCTTGGGAAAGGTATGCCGATTTCGGATTCTTCTTCTCCTGATTTCGGATTGAGGAATCAAAACAATTTATTCGGATTTAGGAATAAAAGGAGGATTTCGGATTGAGGAATGGATAGCCGGGTTCGGATTGAGGAATCAGAGAGCCGAGTTCGGATTGAGGAATCCATTACAGCCACTTTCGGATTGAGGAATAAGACCCGATTTGGGATTGAGGAATCCTCTTCTTCTCTCCTGATTTATTTATTAACAAAACAAAACAATTTTATTATAATTTAGGAATAAAAAGGAGGCGGATTGAGGAATGGTAATGGATATTTCGGATTGAGGAATCAGAGAGCCGAGTTAATTCCAGGAATCCATTACCGGGTTCGGATTAAGGAATACCCTTTGGGAAAGGTATGAATCCTCTTCTTCTCTCCTGATTTATTTATTAACACAAACAAAACAATTTATTATAATTTATAATAAAAAGGAGATTTCGGAGGAGGAATGGATAGCCGATTTCGGATTGAGGAATCAGAGAGCCGAGTTCAAAATTCCAGGAATCGGATAGCCATTCATTGAGGAATAATACCCTTGGGAAAGGATTGGGGAATCTTCTTTCTCCGATTTCGGATTTATTAACATTTAAACAAAACAATTTATTATAATTTATAATAAAAGGAGGAGGCCATGAGGAGTAATGGAGAGCCGATTTCGGATTGAGGAATCAGAGAGCCGGGTTTATAATAAAAAGGAATGGGGAGATCCATTTCGGATTGAGGAATCAGAGAGCCGTGTTCTTTTAAAAGTATCGGCCTAATACCTTGGGAAAGGTATGAATCCTCTTCTTCTCTCCTGATTTATTTATTAACACAAACAAAACAATTTATTATAATTTATCAGAAAAAGGAGGCCATGAGGAGGAATGGGAGAACCGATTTCGGATTGAGGAATCAGAGAGCCGAGTTTGGATTGGGGAATCGGATCCATTTCATTTGAGGACGTGCTAAGCCTAATTGGGAAAGGGGAATCCTCTTCTTCGATTTCGGATTGAGGGAATGGATTAACACAAACAAAACAATTTATTATAAGAGCCGATTTCGGATTGAGGAAAAGGAGTAATTTCGGATTGAGGAATCAGGAGAGCCGGTTTGATTGAGGAATGGGGAATCGGATAGCCGATTTCGGATTGAGGAATTGAGGAATTGAGGAAGGAGATCTCCTGATTTATTTATTAACACAAACAAAACAATTTATTCGGATTTAGGAATAAGAGAGCCGGCGGATTGAGGAATAATGGAGCCGATTTCGGATTGAGGAATCAGAGAGCCGATTCGGATTCCAGAGGAATCGGATTACCGATTTCGGATTGAGGAATCTTGAGAAAGGTTATGAATGGGAATCGGATCTCCTGATTTATTTATTAAGGAAACAAAACAATTTATTGGGATTTATAGGAAAAAGGAGGCCATTGAGGATTGAGGAATGGGAGAGCCGATTTCGATTGAGGGATTGAGGAATCAGAGAGCCGAGTTCAATTGAGGAATCGGAGAACCATTCGGATTGAGGAATCAGAGGGAAAGGTTCGAATTAAGGAATCGGATGATTTATTTATTATTGAGGAAACAAAACAATTTATTATGGGATTGGGGGGGAGGCCGATTTCGGATTAAGGAATAGCCGATTTCGGATTGAGGAATCAGAGAGCCGAGTTCGGATTGAGGAATCGGAGAGCATTCGATTTCGGATTGAGGAATTGGGAGCCGGGTTCGGATTAAGGAATCGGATAGCCGATTTCGGATTGAGGAATACCGATTTATTATAAATTTATAATAAAAAGGAGGATTGAGGAATAATGGATAGCCGATTTGGGATTGAGGAATCAGAGAGCCGAGTTCGGATTAAGGAATCGGAATCCATTTCGGATTGAGGAACGTAATTAATACCCTTGGGAAAGGTATGAATCCGATTTCGGATTCTTCTCCGGATTTATTTATTCGGAAACAAAACAATTTATTATAATTTATAAAAAAAAGCCGATTTCGGATTGAGTAATGGAGAGCCGATTTCGGATTGAGGAATCAGAGAGCCGGGTTCGGATTGAGGAATCGGAATCCATTACGGATTGAGGAATGCTAATACCCTTGGGAAAGGTATGGATCCTCTTCTTCTCTCCTGATTTATTTATTAACACAAACAAAACAATTTATTATAATTTATAATAAAAAGGAGCCGATTTCATGAGGAGGAATGGATAGCCGATTTCGGATTGAGGAATCAGAGAGCCGAGTTCGAATTCCAGGAATCCATTACATTCGGATTGAGGAATCTAATACCCTTTGGGAAAGGTATGAATCCTCTTCTTCTCTCCTGATTTATTTATTAACACAAACAAAACAATTTATTATAATTTATAATAAAAAGGAGGATTGAGGGTAATGGATAGCCGATTTCGGATTGAGGAATCAGAGAGCCGAGTTAATTCCAGGAATCAGAATCCATTACGGATTCACTTAATCTAATACCGGGTTTGGGAAAGGTATGAATCCTCTTCTTCTCTCCTGATTTATTTATTATTTGGGAAACAAAACAATTTATTATAATTTATAATAAAAAGGAGGCCATGAGGATTAATGGATAGATTTATTATAATTTTTCAGATTGAGGAATCAGAGAGCCGAGTTCAATTCCAATCGGAATCCATTACATTCACTTACGTGCTAATACCTTTTGAAAAGGATTTGGGAAAGGTATGATGAATCTTCTTCTCTCCTGATTTATTTATTAACACAAACAAAACAATTTATTATAATTTATAAAAAAAGGAGGCGGGTTCGGGAGTAATGGATAGCCGATTTCGGATTGAGGAATCAGAGAGGAATTCGGATTGAGGAATCCATTACATTCACAATTTATTTACGTGTTAATTTGGGTGAATCCTCTTCTTTCTCCTGATTTACATTGAGGAAACAAAACAATTTATTATAATTTATAATGAGGATTGAGGGAGCCGGTTCGGATTCCAGGAATCCATTACATTCTTCGGATTGGGAAAGGTATCCTGATTTATTTATTAACACAAAAACAAAACAATTTATTATAATTTATAATAAAAGGAGGCATTGTGGAGTAATGGATAGCGTGTTCGGATTGAGGAATCAGAGAGCCGAGTTCAATTCCAGTCAGATCCATTACATTCACTTACGTGCTAATACCCTTGGGAAAGGTATGAATCCTCTTCTTCTCCCCACAGCTATGGGTAAATAGCAGGACAGATTGAGTTCTATATCTTTGGGTGGCAACTAATTTAGGAGAAGGAAAACTCTGAATTCAAACTGGCCTGGAGAGTGTTAGGCTCTGTCAGGCTATCTTGCCCAAGACACCATTTCTGTTGCAGCTGCAGTACATGTTGCGTCCCTATGACCCTGATGGGTCAGGGGATTTGCGTTATTATATGGACATTTTACATTGTTTTGATGTGAGGAACCCACTCGCTAAGTCTGTAAAAGTATTTCTGATATACCCTGAATAAAACAGAAGCGAATCAGTTGGACTCCCCCCACCCCCTTTCTGTATTTATGTTCCTTTCTTACCTGAAATTTATATTTTTTTTCCTTACCTGATGACTTTTGAGCATTTCATATTTTGGAAGACCACCCCAATACTCCTCAAAGGGTATCAACCTGTTCTTTTCTATCTGGTAAATCATGTTTGTATTGATGATGGCATTTTCATAAATTTCATCTTCTTCTAATCCACCACACTCTGGAAACAAACAGAGAAAATGTCAATAACATATAAACATGATTTGGCAAAGTTTAGTCCTCAAGCCTGAAAAAAAAAAAAAAAAAGTTATTGCCTTGACACCACTATTAATGTATACACTTAACTACCTCAGTAATGTTTATTTACAAGATTAATTTTTAATAATATTTACAAGATTAAACAAATATTTGAAGCAGGTACAATGCAATATTTATTATTTACCTTTTGATAAAGATTTATTCTTTACCATTTTATGAAGAAATAAATTTGAAAAGAAATCTTTATTTAAAAATTCATAAGAAAAAATATAAAATTATCAAAATATTTACATCTACAACTAGAATGCAATATTTATTATAAGCAATCTGATAAATAAACAGTGTTTAACATCTTTGTTGTCACTTCTCAAGATTAAATAAATAAATGTATAAATCTACTTTCATATGTTTGGGTTTTATTAAAAATCTAATCATCATTTTCTTCAAACAATAAACATTTCTCAAGAGAATCAAAAATGTTTACAATTATAATGGTGTCAAGGGAAAAACTGGCTCTTTAACGCATTGTTTTTTTTTTTCCCCAGGCACAAAAGTTAAACATTGCCTAGGATCTTATGTGAGCACAGAATGCACTTTTGTAGACGCTGCTGGTGAGCAAAACAATCAAGAGATATACTGCTCTGGGTACTTAGCTTGGTCACCCAGCAACCACCTACATTGACCAACTATGTAATGACACAGGATGCTACCCAAATGACCTTGATGCAGGAGCATGATGTTTGGTGTAATAGACTAATGAATGTCCGAGCTAGCTTGACCGAATAAAAAAATAAAATAAATGGTTCATATTTTAAAAATGAACATAGCTCTTTAGTTCATCAGCCATTATTTATAAAGTTTAAGTCAAAATTTATGAACCGTTTAAACTCACAATGACTTTTCAAAAGAAACCACACATTGCCACAAATGTTTTTAATCGGCAACTGATTCAAGGTATAATTTAAAAAATTTTTCTCCTTATGTTTTTAATACATGGGAAAGTTTCAAAATGTTTTAATTCATGAAACAAAGTCAAAGTTTAGATTAATTTGGAGAAAAATTGAGTAAAACTACGTTGGTGGTACACTCGTTAAATGTTGACATGAATTATGTTTAAAATCATATTTTAATCTAATTTAGCCCCTTTTGTTAATAAGCTGCTTTTTCTATTTTATGAAAGTAGGTTAAAATTTCTCTCCATTTTGTAAATTTCATTTAAAAACATAAATTAACGAGAATAATCAGCAGATCAAAATTTTATTCTATTTTAAATCAATTCATGACTGAGGATATCTAAAATAATTTTAACCAACTCACCGCGACCACCCCCATAAAAAAAAGTGGTTATGAGGCGTTGAAAATATGTAGTAATGAAAAACTTAATGAGGCAAAGTTCAAGCAATATACAAAATAGGAATAAGAATGCAACCCATGTTTATTTCTTGGTTTCCTGAAAATCTTCAAGAATTTGTAAAGAGCAGAGGTCACAAATTTTCAATTGCCTGAAGTTGTGTCCTTAATTGGACTTGTAAAGGTTTCTTAGGTTAAATACCAGCAAGATGGTCAAACCATCATCTACCAGTCACTGTTAGTTGTAATCCAAAACAAAAGGAAAAAAAAAAACAATGACAGTTCAAATACAGTCATGTCCACAGGTCTTGGATAAAGGCCATTTTTAAGAAAGAGGTGTATATATATATATATATATATATATAAAAAAAAAAAAACAACTTGTGTTTCAAATTCAGAGACATCAATTTAAATTCAGTTAGAAACCAAACAAATGAGACAACTTCTCTTACAGTCTGAGACAAAATGATGTCTTGAATGAAGTCTTGGACCCAGTGGCATAGCTAGATGGGGCTGGTACACCCCGGGTGGCACTTTTGTGTCTGCTGTAGACTATAAGCCTGAATAGGCTGTATTGTAAATAAAGGGCTTTTAATGTGAGGGCAGTACTCACAGTCGAAGCATCTTTTTGATTTCAAGTAACTTAAACTATAGCATATATATCCAATGTCTGAAGAGTAACACTTGACAGATGAAATAGTTTTTGATATTAAAGAATTTGCCAACAAAAAAAACAACAAAAGTTACTTTGTAGAAAGTTGTAATTTCATTTCAGATTTAAAGATGGTCCAAATTTATACAATTTTTTCTTATGGGTCATTTTTGCTTTTTAACTGTTAAAGTGTGTTTGGTGTGTATAAAAAGCATACTATATTTGACTATGTGAAAGTAACGTTATAAATGGTACATAAACTTTATTCTTCTAACTTTAAGAATGAGTCACTGTGCAATATGTATTTATTGTTGAGTCTGGGGGTGGCGAACTCAAGGGTCATCACAGTTGGTACACACTCTAGCTATGCCAATGCTTGGACCTAGTGAAATGCAAGTCCCATCAAATTCAACCAAAAAAGTAATAATCTTGTGGCAAGTGTGTTTACATCAGAAGCTCACCAGAGTGGATAGGTAATAGGATAATTATTTTATTGAAAACTTTAGAATAAAACAAACTGACTCAAGAGTTTAAAATAAAGATTTTTATTTAATTTCTTTTGAGTGATGAGTGAGTTGGAACTCAATACATTCTCATTGTATTGAATGGAATGAATTGTTAATCAAATCTCATCAGCTTAGTTCCATAATAAAAGCTACTGATGTAATGGAATAACCTGTCATCCCCATGAGTGACTACACTATAGGTAGTAAATACCTATAAGTATCTGTAAGACAATGGTCTATGGGAGACTTGCTGGGATCTGTTCCAGCAAGATGATCGAACTCTCTGCCTTCGGACAGAGAGGAACACAGACAAGGCTCTGCTGAAGGGCAGAGTCTCATTTGGGGAGGTTGACCAACCTGATTCTGTTTTTATAGTTTCTACAGGCATTTTTTTGGCCAAGCTTTACGGCTCGAAAAAAACCCATGTAAAACTCGGCCTTGTGATACATCTTTCCTTCTTGTGGGGGCACTGGGGGGGGCAAGTAAATATTGACTTGCTGGGATCTGTTGAGTACGACTCAGACTTATGCGAGAACTACCGACCTTCCAATAGTAGCACTCACTACTGGATTGACTTGTGATGACCTTGTGCATAACTGTTACCTTTATTCTTATTGTACTGGTTTTTTACAATAAACCTTTACTTATTTATCCACCGTGTTTTTCAAGTATATATTCCTATTAGCACGAAATATAACAACTATGTATGCAAATGATGTCAGTTTTATAAAAATGAGAAAAAAAAAAAAACAAGGGAAACTAGCAAGAACCCTCATTGAAATTGAATAGCCTTGTTTTGTATTTAAAATAATTCTTTGAATTTTCTGTAATGGAAATTTTTGCTTAAAAGAGCGACTAAAGAAATGCCTCCTTAACTGGAAATCTTGGCCAACAAAGGAATAACTTGAAAAAAAGAATTTTGTACCTTGACATTCAGATTCATGTCCTTCGAGTAAAGACCAAAATATTGAACTGCAGTTCTTCTTACTATCAATTGTAATAATGCCAGATGACGATTTGTACCCCATGTCTTTCTTTTGTTGGATATGAGCAGCAACATCAGCTGACTGGAATAGAAAAAATGTTATTGCTTTAAAGTACATTGAAATCTACTAAGTATGTGTTTGTGTGTGTATATAATGATCTTATTTAAGCAAACTTTAACCTTTGTGCCTACAAAAAAAGACATTTTTTTTAATTTAAATATTTAACATCTTAGGTATGTTCACAGACTCACTAAAAATGAGTATACCATGATGAAAAAATGCCCAAAATTTAATAAAAACAAAGTTTTATTGTCAAAATCTTTGTTATTATTAAGAGGAAAGACCAAAGGAGTTTATAATTATTAAATTATACTTTTTTATACTTTTTAGAAGGTTCATAATTGTTATGGTCCAAGGTTAGGACCAAGGAAGAACACAAACACAAGAGTAGAAATAACGAAGGTATATTACACAAAATAATAATACAAGATGTGGAAGGTATGACTGTCAGTCTGGTTTGGAGTGAACTACTATCGGCTAGACTCGATTCGTCCCTCTCTCTTGAGAGGCGTAGTATACATAGTGTTAGGAAGAGTTCATTCTGTAGTTATAGGTAAGGATCCATGACAATAATTTTGACTAAAAAGTTTCTATCTTTATTTTGTATCAGTAATGAGAGGTGAAAGATTAGTATCAGTCAGTCAGTCATGTGCCATGTGTGATACATGGTTAGGTGAACATGTGTCTTTCAATACATGACTGACGAGGCAGATTTTTTTCTCACGGTAGGTAGGTATTTTTTCTGCAGTAGACCAGTTGCCATCCAAGGCTATAGAACCCAGTCTATCCTGCTAGGGAGATAAGAAGAGGATTCATACCTTTCCCAAAAGTATTAGCACGTAAATGAATGTAATGGATTTGACTGAAATTTGAACTCGGCTCTCCGATTCCTCAATCTGAGTGGCTATCCATTACTCCACTGTGACTCCTCTTCTTTTGCAGTGAAAAACACATTGATTTGAAAATTCTTGCAAAAATTAAATAATTGTTGAATTGTAATGAAACTTTCAGGACTTATTCACAAAAGAATGAAATTATTTTAGAAATATTTTATTTTAGAAAATCTTCGTAAAAATAAATATATATATATATATATATATATATATATATATATACACACACACACACACAAAAGTATAGGATTGTGTATATGGAATAAATTCCAAAATAACCAACAAATACAATTCTAAAATTATTTTAATACATTTTAGAGCAAATATAATTATTTATTTGAAAATTATAACATAAACATTTTATAAAATCATTACAAAGAAAAAGCCATTTTTTTTAAATTTTTTTGGTGTTTTATCAAGTGATGGAGTTGAATGTTGATTCTACTTTCAACACCGTCACTTGATAAGACACCAGAAATGTTGAAACAAAATGGCTATTTTTGTAGTGATTTTATAACATGTTTATGTTATAATTTTCAAATATATATATTTCTTTTTACATCTGTTACCCCACCACTTATCTAATTTTATGAAATTTTGAGAAATTAAACTTTGTAGATCTTAATGTTTATATTAGTTAAAAGCAGAACTCCTTGGAAAATTTAAATTGTCAATTTCTTTTTGTAAAACAAAACCCTCAGTTACCGAAATTCTGCTTGAGTTTGTAAAATAAGAAAATGCAATAAAACTAAGACATTTAATAAAAAAAGATATTTATTGCTTTCATGAATATAGATATATTATGGACACTATTGTCTTAAGAAATTTTTTTTTTTTTGACAAATAATTAATTTTTAAAAAATTTTAATTATAATAATTTACAAAGTTTTAAATCTCTTAAAATTCTGTGTGTCTTTGCAGAGGTTAGGTGATATCGTTATTACTATATTTACTAATCATATTTGGAAAAGCTTGTTACAATTTAGCGACCCTGAATATTTTAAAAAGAATTTTGAATTCTTTTTTTTATGTGTACCAATTTTTGTAAATATGGACATCCACAGACAACATTATCAGAAAATAAGAGTGATAACAAAAGCAAAAATACATAAAATTCAATAAAACTTTAAATTACAAAAAATATTATTCATAAATTTTTAAAACTACTGGGTAGTTAAAAATTATATAAAAAAGGTGTTTACATTATATTCAAGTTATTTTTATAGATATGCCCACCATAGAAAAAAAAATTACATAAACTTCCGTCTGTCAGTCAAGCCATCAATAATTTAGATAAACAGCTATAGCTTTGTCAAATCAGGCATTTCTACTATAAACTTAAGTAATATTAATTTCAAATCAGATTAATTAAACTTTAAATCAGCTAATATTCCTCAAATAAAGTTTCAGAAGTCTTATTTTTGAATTATGAGAATTATGCAGTAATGACGGATTGCTAAAATCAGATATTTTAGCAATTCCAAAATGAAAACACCCAGTGAATTTAAATTAGTTATGGAAATGTAGAAAGTATTTTGCTTATTGGAAATATTAAATTTAATCTATTAGCTTGAAATTGAGACGTAAATAAGTTTCAAGAAATATTTTTTCATTTTTAAAAATTCATTTTAAAGCATAGGCATCGTGTTTCCGTGGAAGTACCTATTTTAAATATTTAACATCAACTCATTGAAATTACACACACACACAGATTATAATCATTTTTATGACACATTTAAGTCTATATAAGTTACTTGCAACCATTTCCAGTCTCTTAGGTCAACAGGTCATCTTCACCCTCCCTTGAATTGGGCCTTGTTATTAAGGGCAAGGACTTTTGAAAGTTGAACTTTTTTAAAGGCCAGGGATCAATGGGTCACAATGAACATTGACAGTTTAGGGTGAGTCACAACTTAAATTCTCTCAGTAAAATATATTCCAAATTTCTCCCTTGCCTTACTCTTCTCTTGGAAAAATAGCAATGGAAACCCACAAACGTTACCAGATCAATAAATGTATGTTAAGATATAGTATAAATATGAAGATCAGATATAGAAAAATAAAATAAATAAAACAAAGTTATAAGAAAATTAAAGCTTAGAAAATAATGAATACTTATTGTTAAAAATATAATTTTATATATAAATAAAGGCACCTTTAATAATTTTTTTAGCCAAAATTTCAAATGTTTTAAAAAAGTTAAAAAAAAATGTTAATAATAAAAAAATCTTTTGATCTTTCCTCTTAAAAAAAAACAAACAAAAAAACAAAGACCTTGATGATAAAATTTTGTTCTCATTAAGTTTAGGGCATTTTTTTCATCCTATATGCTCATTTTCTAGTGAGTCTTTGTATATATATATATATATATATATATATATATATGTGTGTGTGTGTTCGAACAAATGATTTCTTTTCTGGACACAGAGTGTGTAGAAACTGCCCAAATGTTCTGAGCACTTTCAGCTTTACTTTTAGCCATTATCAAGGATGATTTTATTCTTACTTTTTAACTGGATGTATGGGTTGTGTGCATGTATCTAGAGTTACAGGGATATTTTATTTTCCGAACACAGCACATTGTGGCTGTGTTTGTAGTTAATATTATTGAGTGTTCAATAAATAAACACCTTTATATATATATATATATATATATTTTGTGTGTATTTAGGCAGCATCTTTTCATTCATGCACGTTTCATTAAATAATATAGACAAGTGTTGTCTATTTAATTTATGTAAAATTTTTTCGTAACATCTGATAAGTTTAATAACATTATTGTTGAACGGAGAAAGAAATTCACAATATTGATCCATATTTTTTTAATACAATCTAAGCTTTTGGCTTACATAAGCCATTATTAAAAATGTCAATTACAACATATTAAGCAATATACAGACACGACAGTGATGATAGTCTGTCATTGTTTACATAGATGATTTCTAAGCAATGATAAACATGTGCATATAAGACGAACTAAATATGTTCCAATAAGATGATTTATTATGATAAAAAAAAATATCATCTTGGTAAAATAATATAGCACCATGGCTTCAATATAAAAGATATAACTCTCCAATTTCTCATAATATTTTTGTATCCAACAAACTGAGTGTCAGTTTGGATTGTATGTATTTGACATTTTTTACTTTTGACTGGAATAACTGACAGTGCTAAATCTATTTTATTTCATTTCATAGAAGAACAAAAGACAAGCATATTAACCTTTGCTTTTTCAATGATGTTACTATATTCTCCAATCCAATTAATTACTTTATCTGGAGTGATCAGAACGTAGCAGTCACCTTGGTTCACATTTCGAGCACATGGTTCAACAAGTCTGGTCTGAACATGTCGTCGGCCTAAAACAGGGAAATGAGAGGATTAAAATAATAAAATGGCAAGAAAATAAGGAATTCAATAAGGTAAATATAAAAACTCCTTCAGAGAAATCAGCACCATGCAAAATATCAGATTTCAGAAAAGTCAGGTTTGAAAAGAATTTGACCAGTTAAGAAAAGAAAAACTTAATCAGGATAGTACTTTGATCCTTCCCAAATTTGGAAAATTTATTCTAAGTTTTTGTTTTTTTGCTTTTTTAATTAATATTCACTTAAATACTGTTTTTTGGCAGTCATTAAGTTCAAATCTTTTTATAGAACTTATAATATGCAAATCACAAGGCTTAAAATCATCACCCCCTAATGTATCATTATGACTGATAGCAAAGAGTTCAGAGATGATTGAATTGGAAATTTTATTGTTGGTTCAAATCTTTAATGGGAAAGATTGCAAAATACTTCTCCCTTCCCAATTTATAGGCAGAAGCACACAATTGCATGCTGGGATTTCTTCCTAGTCAATAAAATAGACCAGTTCTCGGTGTCATATGGCTCAGTCCTGGTCTGTCTTGTCTTGAAGTCAGAACGCTACATTTGTTTATCCGAATTTGCTCTTAGTTTGTGAAGCACAATGTTATCAGTCCTGACCTGATATCTCAGTTTCAGTCTCTTTCCCTATGACTATTGTTTTTTCCAATCTGGTGTAGGAATAACTGCAAAACACTTTTCCTCCTCCCCAATTTATAGGCAGAAGCACACAAATGTATGCTGGGATTTCCTCCTAGCCAATAAAATAGGCCAGTTCTCAGTTTCATATGGCTCAGTCCTGGTCTGTCTTGAAGTCAGAATGCTACGTTCATTTATTCGTATTTTCTTGTGTGCCAACTCCAATTCTTTGTGAACTTTTTGCCATATTAGTGTTGCTTTGCCTTATTTCTGTTAATTTACTTTGCATATATTGTTTGTTTGCTTTAGATTATTTTTTGCCCTATTCTTTTCCTTGTTATTGTTTATTGCAAACTTTGTTAATTCTTTTTGTTGGACACTTTTGTCACTTATTTTGCATTTGATCACTCCACATTTCTTATTCTCCATTTTAAAGTGTTTTAATGCTATTGTACCAAGAAAATTTATGCTAGGGTGAATCAAAAGAATAGCACTTATTGATGGCCTCTTGCACACATTATTATAAAAACACATTTAAAAACAATTTTCTGTGCAAATGTTGAACTGAAAAGCTTAATGGTCTTGCAAAATAAAATAACAGGAAAAATACATTATTTGTAGAGCTTAATATCTCTCCAGATAAAAAAAATAATCTGAAAGTGTTTATATTAATCTAATCTCTGTTTAAATTACTAAATTTAAACAAATGTTTATAATACTATTTTACTCCACCAAAAATATTAGGATAAAAACAATCAAAAAAACTGTTTAATTATTCAAAACTTATTTAAAAATGAAAAATCTCATTTGCAAGTTTGTTTTTTTTTTATTTTGTTTGTTTTTTTAAGGATTAAAAAAAATTATAACAAAATAAAAACCACTTACCTTTGACATGTAATAACATTAATGGTTTATAAGGTAAATACCGGTGACCTCCTGGAGATGGAACTGAAGGATCTGTCTTTCGGAGTTCAATTTTAGAAAAGTTTTCCTTACTGGCAAGACCTGCCAAAGCGGCTTCTGCAAAACCAGCATCTTTACTCACTGAAGAGAACAATAAAAAAAATACAATTCAATTTTATTAAAACTTTTTTTTAATCATTTCACCCCAAACAAGGCAATAAAGCCACTAAGATGCAAGGAGAGTGAATAATAAAAGAATAGGAATTAAGACAGAAGACAACGATTGATATTGAATTAAAATTTTGAAGATCAAACTTGACTGGGAAGTAAGAAGTCAAGAGAGAGTTCCCTAAGTGAGAAGCACAAGAGAAGAAACTATTAGCATAGAACTTACAGCTGCATCTAGACATTTCAATGGTAAAATGATGAGACCTAGCTGCCAATCTAGTACTGCTCTTAAATTCATAAAGTCTAGGTACCAAAGAGGAAAGCTCATCAGAACAATTACCATGAAAATATTTATAGAAAATGTACAGGAAAGGTACGTTATGGTGGTGGGAAAGTTACCGAAGTCGTGATGCCAGGTCAGGACCAAAAACAATGCAGATTTTTTGTATTTTATCTAGAATCTCTAAATATATAGCAGGAACACCAGACTATATATGGCAGCAATATTTAAAGCAAGGACGGATAGTAGATTTATGAATGTGTAAGGTGGATTCTGAATAAAGCAAAAAAGATACTCTAAAAAGATTTCTCTTGCTTTTAATTATAAATTAAAAATAAAAACAACTACTGAAATAACATGTATTATTTTCGAATAGAGAGGAAATAATACACACACACACACACACACACTCTCTCTCTCTCTCACAGATTGATAAAAAGATTGATAGATTTCATTAAAGACCACAGTCATATTTAAAGTTTTCAAAATATGACATGACAATATATGACATGACAAAGTAATTCTAATCTAAACATAATAATAATCCTGGTATGATGAAAAACTACATCAAGCAGCAAGGCCTCTTATCAGGAGATTGGAGGCTTTGAGGGGGTGTCACCACCACTTAACTGTTGCTGTTCCCAGGTCCACACTGACCAGGGATGGTAGCACCTGTTAGGGATCCCCTAAGAAATAGTTTGTTACATGTATGTATTTATATAATGTTTTCTTATTTAACAGTTAAAATATTTCATCCTTGAAAATGGCTAAATGTATAGCTGAAAGCACTTGGATAAAAAGAACATTTGGATAGTTTTTATATAATTTATCACCTTAAAAGAAAAAAATTATTAGATAACATGAGAAATTGTATAAAAAACAAAATCAAAGCACCTTGCCTGTTGTGTTCAATGGAATGTGTGTGTATATATATATATATATATATATATATATATATATATATATATAGTAAAGGTAACAAAATCTGTTGGCATATAATGAAAGTGGATCCTAGTAATATCAAATATTAAAATTGATCCCCAAAATTAGCTCAATGTAAAATCCAAAATTACCTCATATGAGGAATAGCCTATTTTGGCAGACGAGGATATCAGTGATCTGTCTGTGTGGACAACAGGGTTGATAAGACAGATGACAGATATTTTCATCTGCTGAAATAGGCTATATCCCATATGAGTAATTTGGATTTTATTGTTTATTAATTATATATATATATATATATATATATATATATATATATATATATATACTTATTATAAAACCCAGGTTGTGTGTGTGTGTGTCTGTACGTTTATAGGACCAAAAGAGTGAGAGCTCAATACCTGGTTAAGGCAGTGGAGAACTTTCAGAGGGAAATTAACAGGAGATAACTGACATCCATTAAACATGGCATGTGGAACTAGAACATGTCATTGTCTACCATATTCATATTCTACCAGTGAGCAAAATAAAGGATTCAATTTGACATTCCAACCACCTGAAGAAGACCGGAGCATACAATGGCCAAAACATTGTAATAATTATGGCGACAAAGATGAGGACAATAGTCCAAATAATGTAAATAATTATATATATATATATATATATATATATATATATATATATATATAAAAAATATTCTTAGATGGAGTGTATTTGTAGAAGAGACAAAATGAAAAAAAGGGACAAGAGGAAAAAACTATACTTAGCCAACATGTTTCGTCCTCTGAAGGAACTTTATCAAGGCAATGTAGGATTTGTAAGGCTGCACATGTTTATATACAGAGGCAAGGATGTCATTGGTTTATCAAGACTTGTAAATCATTTTATTCATATATATGTACGTAAATTATTTTCATATAGAGTGTATCTGTGAAGGAACAACATGAATAAAAAGACACAAGGTAAAACTATTCTTAGCTGACACATTTCATCCTCTGAGGGACTTTATCAAAGCAAATATAAGGATTTATTTTGTAGCACATATTTATGTACAAGAGCAAGGATATCATTGGTTTTTCAAGGCTTTTAAATTTCATAAACATTCTCAAATTTAAAAGCCTTGATAAACTAATGACATCCTTGCTCTTGTATATAAACATGCACAACAAAATAAATCCTTATATTTGCCTTGATAAAGTCTCCAAGAGGATGAAATGCATTAACTAAGAATAGTTTTTCTCTTGTCATTTCATTCATATCAGTCAGGTTTTGATCTCGGCTTGAAGCAATTGGATGTCTAGCCATACTGAAGAGCCGTGAAATGTGGATGATACTATATATATATATATATATATATATAAAAATAAGAAATTAATAATCAGTTCAATCCCCCCCCATGTCCCCCCCTAAAAAAAAAAAACTTTACAAGCTTCTTTCTTGATTCTCTTTAGTTCCATTTCAGCAACATTGGTTTTGAATTCTTCATATTCCTGCCGTTCAAGATTAGATGACCGCGACTTGAGTGGATTCTTACTTCTTGCCTGGACCTTCTTCTTTGGTCGAGATTTCACACTGTGGATTAATCTGCAAACACACACACAAAATGAAAAGAAAAATAATAAAAAAAGACAGAAATCATTTTCCTTTATTCATTAAGGCATATCTTAAAAGTATGCCAATTTTTACAGACTTTTACTTCAAATCTCTATTCTTGTCCACCTGTAAAAGATGATCTATGACTCCAGTTTATTATTATTATTATTATTGTTGTTATATATTAGATTTTTTTATAGCCCTTTAGTCAAAAATTTATTTCATGTAAAAATCTAAAAACTGTCAAATGATTCCATTATATAATCTATCAAATAGTATTGTTACTTTTTTTTCAGATTTTGTTGAGATTTTTGGTAATTTTGAAGCCTTATTTTAAACTGAATCTCAAAGTGGCTGATGCAGTTCAGAAAATTTAACAAATGAAACAATATCTAACTGTATTGGCCAAAACTGTTTTAAGGGAATTCTCTTGTCCCTTGAAATAAAGACGATAAGTGGATGACAATTAGCTGTTGATCATGATGCTGAAAGCACAAAAGACCCAACTAACAACACTTGAAAAATTTCTAAAAATCCAGGATCATTGAAATATACCATACCGAGACAGAAGGACATCTATGGTAAGCAGAGTCCATGGCAAAGGGCTAAAATTGTATTTTGTGGTGACTTGTACTTTGAAATAAAGTCCAGAATTTGTCAATTATGATGCTTTAAAATGCATGGGAAAAGAGAACTTGACAACAAGAACTTGAAAATTTTTTAGAAGAGCCAGGATCATCAAAAGATCTCAGATGAAGAGCATTGCATAAGATTAAAAAATATGAGAGCTTTCGAGATAATATTTGACTCCCTCTCCACCACATTCCAACCTCCTGGAGATATATATATATATATATCTATCATATCAGTGGTAAATATACATACATATGCAAAATATATAAATACCCATACATGTATATTTTTTGAATAAAAATTCCAAGAGGATAGAATCCAGGTAGAACTCAATGTCCAGGACAGAGTAAGGATATAATAAAAAGGCTTAAACACTAATATTCCATGGTCATAATTTATTCCATTGGAATCGTAAATACGATCAATTCATCAGACTTACAAATTCAAAAGAAAACAGAAAAAACAACCCGGAAAAAATAAAAACAGAATTTAGAGAGAGTGTAAGTGGAGGAGGAGATTAAATCTTAACAGAGAGAATTTTAGAGAGGGAGGTGGGTGGAAGTAAGAGAAAAATGAATATATAAATATAAAATATATATATATATATATATATATATTTTAAACTTGTATCACCCTATCAAAGGCAGTAACGCCACTAATACATAAGGAGTTACAGGGTGTGGAAGAATTAGCAAAAGAAACATTAATAATGAGTGGGAAGAGAAAAGAGTAATCAGGAAGAGAGTAGATAGTGATTGACATTGCATTTAAATTTTTGCAGATTAAAGTTGGAAAGCATGAAGCCAGAAGGGAGTTCCACAAGTAGGAAGTGCGAGAGAAGAAACAGTTAGCATAGAATTTACGTCTACATCTAGCCAACTCAAGTGTAAATTGATGAGATCTAGATGCCAGTCTAGTACTGCACTTAAATTCATGAAGTCTAGGTACCATAGTGAAGGGCTCATTTGAACATTTACCATGAAAGTATTTATAGAAAAGACATAGAGAGGCAACCTTATGGCAGTGGGAAAGTGACTGGAGCTGAGCTGCCAGATCAGGACCAATAATATTGCTGGAAAGCATAGAGTCAGAAGGGAGTTCCACAAGTAGGAAGTGCAAGAGAAGAAACAGTTAGCATAGAATTTACGGCTACATCTAGTCAACTCAACTGTAAATTGATGAGATCTCAATGTCAGTCTAGTGCTGCACTTAAATTCAGAGTCTGGGCACCATAGCAAAGAGCTTATCTGAACAATTATCATGAAAGTATTTTATAGAAAGGACACAGGGAGGCAATCTTACAGCAGTGGGAAAGTGAATAAAGCTGCCAGATCAAGACCAATAAAATATAGTTTCTTTGGATTTTATCAAGGAGCTCAAGGTAAATATCAAGAAAACTGGGCCATATGTGGCAGCAATATTCTGAGCATGGATGAATGGTAGACATAGATATGTAAGATAGATTCTGGAAAAATATATATACTGAGTTTCAGTGCCCTCCCTCTCATCCATAATACCAGTGAATTTGAATGATTTTGTTTTAGAAAAATATACCACACAGGCCAATTACTATCTATTTTCTGTAAATATCAAAGGTGTTCCATACCACAACTGTTTGAAATAACAGAAAAATGTCTTCAATTTCCTTCTCACCTGCAGTTATTCTTTTAGTTTACTTCAAAAGGATTCAATCTACATTGTTCACCTATTGTCCAGTTCACACTCCTCCCTGGTCTTTTAAACAGGAGTAGAGGTTTATCACTTGTTTCCTGTTTAGGACTGGTTTTCCAGTTCCTTCTAAAGTCTACTTCAACTCCATACTCCTAACATTGGTCCTTTCTTATACTAATATAACTCCACACAGTACCTCTCTGCCTTGAGTGACTCTTGCGCCTTGTATTGGTCAGTAAAAAAAAAAAAAAAATAAATTTTAAAAGTGCACAGTAATCATTGAACCCACTTTAAATGGCTTCCATAAACAGAATGTTTCTCAGTGTTTAACAAACCAATAGTTCTGCTTGTCTATGAATGCAAAGAGTAATTGTCATGTGTGGCAAAAGGTTTTGCTCAAGTTGGTGAGGAGTGAAATTACTATGAGGAGCTTGCAAGATCAACATAGTTTTCAATGTATGATCATCAGTACAATACGCAATATTTTTCTCTTCATCAATATGCCATGTCTCTTCAGGATGTGGGTGATCATGGCCTTCCACAGCTTCCTGTCCTTTATAGCTCTTAATAAGGTTTGTCTTTTTGCTATCTCTCCTAGTCCCTGTTTTGCCAGCAATTTACACAGGCTCTTTATGTTGGTACTTGCTGCTATCGCCTGTTCCCCTTGCCTTCAGTATATCCTGTGAGTGTCAAATTCTCCAAGCCCTTTTTCTTTATTAGGTACTCTAGAAATTTCAACTATCTCTTTCTAAGTTGAAGTATGAGTGTTCTTTTTGTTTCCATTTTCCTTACAAGTTTTTTGTTGCTCACATGACCCATTCATCGTATTCTCAGCATCCTTCTGTAGAATCACATTTCTGTTGCTTCAAGTCTCTTCTTCATCTGTGAGGAGATTGCCCAGCATTCACTGCCATATTGGAGGACTGATATTACATAACAGTTCAATACTCTTTTCTTTGTTTCTGTTGCTTCAAGTCTCTTCTTCATTTGTGTAGAGATTGTCCAGCATTCACTGACATACAGGAAGACTGATATTACATAATTTAGTGCTCTTTTGCTTGTAACAAAATTTTCCTGTTTCTTAATACTTTGCTTAGATTTTAGATGGCTTCTTTCACTATTCCAATGCACTTTCAGATTTTAGTATTGACTTTTCATCCTCTGTTAAAACACTTCCAAGATATTTAAATTTTTCATACTTTTTTGATTTTGGTATCACCAATTCCAATTATTGATCTTGGACTATTCCTTTTATTGATAACCACACATTCTGTCTTCTTACAATTGATTTTTAGTCCATTTTTCTTGTGCTCCTTCATGACATTCTATAGCTGTTCTTGTAGTTTCCTTTCTGTGTCTGCTATAAACACTGTGCCATCTTAAAGATAGGAAGAAGGCTAACATAACCACAAACTCTGAACAGAAATTACACCTTTAATAGTGATGACAACTTGGACAGGGAGTGTAAAGACAACATCCCAGGGGACATCGCGGAGGAAGTCACGGAACGAGTCCCAATCCGCTCGTTGATAGTAGAACGAGGTTCTTGTGATGGGAGGTTCTTTGCAGGGCGTGGAGTTGAAGGAAACGTTGACAGATACCACAGCGTGATCAGAGTTAAAGCGGGCAGAGCTGTGTGGCGCTACAAGATTCAGGGATGGAGGTGAAACACAGGTCAAGAAGAGAGGCATTGCCTGCCAGGTCGAGGGCAAAACGCGTGGGGAAGTATACTATCTGCGTGAGGGATTGAGAAATTGAGAAGTTAAATGTTTGAATGCCAGCCCGGTCAGTAGTAGCATTCTTCGAGCCACTTGGTGTGATGGGCATTAAAGTCACCAAACACCCAAATATATGAGCAAACGGGTGGAGAGAGAGGGCCTTGTCTATGCTGTCAGATATGCTATCAAGTATCCCACAGTCTTGAGAGGATGGAGAGCGATAGAGGAAGAAGAGATAGCTTACGGCATTGAGGAGAGATAGTCGGAGACACATATACGACAGGTCTGGCGATTTGAGAGACATCTCTCTGGCCAGGGGAGATGGTCCTTGACATAGACACCAAGGCCGTGCATGTGGGTTAGAGAGTCTTTCCTGAGGAGAGGAAGGTAGCCTGGGATCGAGAGATCAGAGGAGGGAATAGACGAGACAAGGTTTTGTCTCACACAGAGCCAGTATATCCGGGCAGTTTGCAGCGAGGAAAGATTCCAAACTGCAGAAGTTTGTTCTAATGCCACGGATGTTGGCCGAAATGAAATGTTAAGGGGTTTAGGTGATTTTTGCGGGGCTGGTTTAGTTTTACTTTTTGATTCAATCGGGTCTTCATGTTTAGTGATTGTTGGAAGATGAGAAGGCCTGAAGTGTAGAGAAGCAGATGGTTATCGACCAAGCGTGAGCAGAGAGGAGTTGGCACAGCCTGCATCATAGTGTGGCCTCAGGGTTGCCCACCGGAGGTGACTGCAGGGACACCGATCCATGCGCCAACATGGCACTACAAACACCTCGGTATTATACAACTGTTGATCAGAGCGCCGCTCAAGTTTTTTTTTTTAATGTGCGAAGTTATTAGCAGAGAGCTAACATTTCAAATGCTTGTTTTCAGAACTATCCCCATTTAGAAAACTGGTGCATTAGTCTTCCTGCTGCTCTTATTTGACCAAATCCTGGATTAAGGTAAGCTTAATAAATATCAAGGTACTTAACTCAGTAAACACAAAAAAAAGGATACAATTAGTCTACACAAAGATAATTAAAAAAAAAAAAAAAAAAAAGACTCCATTTTAGTTTCATGCTTACATATTTTTTGACGTCTGGACTATTTCATCAAAATCATCTACGCTTATATCGAGTTCATTTTTGTCAAAGAGATTTGTTGAGCTGCCAAAAAATTGGTCGAAGCCATCATCACTGAGTTCAGGCAGTTTGACAATGTTGCTGGAGTTCTCAACTGTTTCCTCAAATGTTGTTTCTGAAAAGGGTAGAGAAATGGAATTAGGATTATTATTCAAAGACAGATGACAAAAATCAACAAGAAATAGAAAAGTTTTAAAAATAAATATAGATCTTTATTTTCACCCAAAATTAAAGCAAATATACAAACTTTAGAATGGTTCATGATCAGACATTCATTGTCTGTTATATTTAACAATATATGTTTAAATAATGATCTGCTGTCCCAATACACTATATATACACACACACACATATATATATATATATATATATATATATATATATATATATTATCTTAATTAAAATAAGTTTTTTTTCGCTACACAGTAATAACCATGTTTCAAAAAAAATATCAATAAGAACACTGGATTATATATCTTACTGTTCTTTTCTTTTTTTTATAATATAATATATATATATATATATATATATATATATATATATATATATATATAAATTATAAATTGATTTAAAATATGTTTTTTTTTGCTACACAGTAATAACCATGTTTCAAAAAAAAAAAAAAATTATAAGAACACCGAATTATATATCTTATTGTTCTTTCTTTTTACTATAATATGTGTGTGTGTGTGTGTGTGTGTGTATATATATATATATATATATATATATATATATATAACATAAGCTACCTGTTGTCTTTAGCAAAATCTGTTTGAATATATATGTATATAAAGAAATTATTTACAATTACCTTCATACATGCTATAGTGCGTGCACATGCATATTTGTCTACATGTCTTGAGATTGTGTTTGAGACAAGAGAGCAGCTGCCATGATAATAAAATCCTTTTTTATTCAGTATTTCAATGACAAAGAAGAAGAAAAAAAAGCAACTCAAATGGAGAAATATGCAGTCTATTTGAATGAAGAGAAGTAAACAAGTAAAAAGAAAATATTTTTGTGTCTTGAAAGAAAAGGAACAATAATGAAGTAATGAAATGAGTTATGAAATTAGCATGATTGACTAATCATTATTTTTTAATCATTTTGCTTCAAGTAAGACAATAAAGCCACTAAGACCTTCATAGCTAGAATCCATCATACCATGGGAAGAGCAACATTCCTTAGTTCCATCAATCCAGACCTTCATAGCTAAGATCCATCATACCAAAAAAAAAAAAAAAAAAGAATTAAACCCTCTGCACTTTTATTTTTCCAACCCGAAACCTCAGTCATATCATGCAAATTAACCATAGGAGTAGATAGGTTTACCTGAGTAGATTATGCAAAATATGGTTTGCAACTGAAAGTGGAATTTTCAACTTCAATCCTATTCCTGGTAGAACCATTTCATACCTTCAGATTGAGCAAGAATATTTCCATTTTCAAAATCTGATAATTCTTGGGCTTCAAGATGACAAGGCATTGCAAAATGATTATGTGACGATATGTCAAATGTGACGATATGTCAATATTTCTAAAATAAATATATTTTGTCTACAGCAATTCAAGAAATGTGGATGAAAATGAAAAGGAAACAAATAATTAAGCCACATGGTAATACTCTGTCATATGAAACGAAAATGTTATAAAGTCAGATGAAGTTCAATCAATATTATGACTAAAGAGTGACATTTAATCAAAAATAAAAGGTACAATGAGTTAAAAGGTAGTATGAATCAAAAGGTACACTTTTAACCACCAAATTTGAAAATCTCACTACTAACAACTACTGACACAAACAAAAACTGATTATTATAAAAGTTGTTTCCAAAGTACATCTTTATTTTTATGGTCAAGTTTATATTAACAAGCAAAATACGTTATAGCAGTGTTAGTGTCTGAATCTTTTTTTTTTATTTATTTTTAAGCCTTTAACCCCAAGCAAGGCGGGAAGCCACTAGAATGCAAGGGGTTACAGAGAGTTGGAGTGAGAGCAAATAGGAGTGATAGAGGAAAGGATGAAGAGAAGATTAGGGGATAGATCAGGGCATCTGGAGACATTGATTGACATTACATTTGAATAGTTGGAGATTATAGCTCTCAGGGAAACAAGAAAAGGGGAGGGAGTTCCACAGGTGAGAGATGTGAGACATGAAGCTATTGCAGTAGAAGAGACAGCTATATTTAACAGTTTCGACAGTGAAAGGGTGAGAGTGAGATGCCAGTCTAGTTGAACACTTAAATTCATGAAGTTTGGGAACCAGCGAAAACACAAACCGATTCTATGATTGGCCTCGATTAAAAAATGATATCAGGTTCAAATGGGATGATGGGGAAGGAATCCCATCCATATTTGGCATTTGCATCTCTTGACTAAAATGAGAATTTGTTGGAATTTTGAATGTTGACTTTGGTTTAGTATTGTTTTAATATCTCAGAATTTTCTTACCTGATACTATGATTTCTTTTGGAATGGGAATTTTCCAATCTCCTTTGGTAGGGGTGGAGGGTGAAGTGGCACTGTTAGATTGATCTGTCTCTGTAGCTAAAACAAGAAAGAAAGATACAAATAAAAAATAATTTAAATCCATTGATAATATCAGACAATAAAGCTTGGTGATTTTGTCTAAATCAAATACATGGATTCTAAATTTGTACTCAGAATTGTTACATCACATCAGAGATTTGCATTAAGTGCATGCAAATGATTGTAAAGACTGTCTTATAATGAAAAAAAAAAAAAAGAACAACTTTTGTCTACTGTCTGGAAAAATGATGTAACAGGAGACTAAATAAAATATACCAATTCCAAATTTTAGAATTGTTAGAACATATCAGGTTTTCAAGATGTGTATATAAGTAAGTTATATGCCATACATGATACATGCTTACGCGATCATGTATCTTTCAGTACATGACTGACGAGGCAGATTTTTTTCCCGCAGAAGGTTGCCATTTCTTTCTGCAGTAGACCAGTTGCCATCCAAGGCTATAGAACCCAGTCTGTCCTACTATTTACCCATAGCTTTGAGAAGAGGATTAATACCTTTCCCAAGGGTATTAGCACGTAAGTGAATGTAATCGATTCGACTGGAATTTGAACTCTGCTCTCTGATTCCACAATCCTCCTGATTTGCATATAGTAGATTTATACTGCATGTAAATATTATATTAATAGTTCATTAGTAATCACTTGAGTTTGTGTTAGTCATACAAAACTTTCTTGGATCTCTGAAAACTATGCCGAGTTAACTATCAAGCCCTTATATGATTTCAGTAGTTCAGGCCTTAGAGCCCTGACTAAATTGTTGAAAAATCTGAACAAGTCATGTTACCGTAATTACATTTCAAAAACAGTTGAAATACCAAGTATTACAAGTTGAATTTATATGAAAGTAAACTGCACTATTTACATTATTTGGACTATTGTCCTCATCTTTGTCGCCATATTTATTACAACATTTCAGCCATTGTACGTTCTGGCCTTCTTCAGAAAGTAAACTGACTTCTCTTTCAAATGACACCACATTTCACAGCCTTGGTGTTACTGATTTTAAGGTATGGTTTTGGAAATCTACAATCTTTTGCAAAAGTTTGTAGATTTTCAGCATCTCTAGTTGATCATGTGATAGGTGTATTGAAATACAGGGCTATTGTGGGTACATTCAGGTGCTCCCAGATTAAAAGCACGAGATACATGCAGGCGTATTTGGGTATTTCCAGCCATAAAAGGTTAATAAATAACATGCCAACAGCATATCAAACAATGGATTATTAAACATCTAAAATGCACTTTCGGAAATCTCATCCCGATTTTTTTTATGTTCGAAGCTTAACTTTAACAAAATATCGCAATCGTTATTTTAAGAAGTGGGTAGAAATGAAAAGATTTGAAATTGTCAACATTTTTGGTATGTTCCGTGTGATTTCGCTTCAAACATCGTCATCGCCACTGTTATATTCCGTGCTAAGGGAATAAATATGAGGTGGATAATAGAAGAAAAGTTTATTGTACACAACCAGTACAATATGAAATATGGTACAGTTATACACACAGGTCAATCTAGTAGTGAGTGCCACTAATTGGAAGGTCGGACGTGCTTGTATCATCTCTCTCCCATACTTCCTCACGTCTACACCGTCTCTCGTAGATAGTTGATTTTATAGGTACTTACTACCTAGGGTGTAATCATTCATGGGGGTGCTGGGTTATTCCATTACATCAGCTTTGCATTTTCACTGAAACAGCTTTAAACATTTCTTTCATTTTCTCACTGAAACCAAGTAGTGTCTTTACCCCTCTTTCTATGCATCAAAATGGAATAGTCTGTTATTTATGATTGGTAGGAGACTATTAAACACTTATCTTCCCTCATTTCTTTCTTTCTAGCCAAATCCCTGTCTTATGAACATGTGTCTTAATAATAATTTAAAGATAATTCAGCAGATGATGTTATTTTATTTAATTTATTGTATTTATATTTTGCCAATTGCTTACTCAGTTTCTGTTGTTTCATATTGGGCATTTTAAAGCTTCTCCGCCTTTTGGCTGAGATCAAATTGTAGTACCTGTTCTTATCAGATTAATCTGATTCTCTCTCTTTCTCTCTCCACTTCTATCTTTTTTCTTTCATTTTCTCACTTAAACCAAGTAGTGTTTTTTCTCCTCTTTCCATGTGATCGAAAGGCAGAATAGGCCATTATTTATGAGGTATTGGCAGGGCATGATGGTCATGCTAATTAATAAAAGGAGGGACAAGCATAATTATAACAGGATGTTTTCAACCATTGTGCCCTTTCAACCTTTATTAGTTACTTGTTGATCAAAGCAAATGTTCAAGGACTTTTGAACTGGACTCTTTATTTAATCTATAGTGGCAGACTGTTCTTATTCCCCTGACCCTGTCGAAGAATATCTTATCTTGTTTTCTTATTTACTACGAGTCAGTTATTTCTCGTCCCATTTCCATTGAGTCTAAGCACACACTTCCCAGACCAGGGATTGAACTCACAATTACTATGTCAACAAATTCATTAACCAACATTTTCATCCACTAGGCCATTATCGCAGAGCAAGCGATATCTTATAGCAATATCCATAACAAAAATGAAATATCTAAGCAGTACTAAATAAGAAATAGATTAAATATTGCCCTATATGCTCAAAAAAATCAGAACAATTTATCCTCTTTCATCCACTAGGCCATTATCGCAGAGCAAGCGATATAGCAATATCCATAACAAAAATGAAATATCTAAGCAGTACTAAATAAGAAATAGATTAAATATTGCTCAATATGCTCAAAAAAATCAGAACAATTTATCTTCGGAGATTAAATAAAGGATTCAGTTTGAAATTTCCTGAAGGTTATTCAGGTCAATAAATACTTAATGATGGAAACAGCAGCTGAAATGTGATAACAACATTTTATAATGTCGCCCAGGGTGGTTATTAAAATAATAACTAGAACAGCAACTTACAAAGTATAAGGGTTTATTTTAAACAAGAACAATGCAAGTAGATATTTACAAGTTTGTCTGAAGCTGGAAAGCAAGCTGGTATTTACCCGACCTTTCCACGAATCAGGATATGGCACAAAGCTGATTTTTATGTGGGGTGATCGAAGCCCATAAGCCTGGTCAAAAATTCCCCATATACCCCCATATACATGGGGGTCGGGTTTGTCAATCACCTCAGATGAAACTTTGCCCTTTGGCACTGCCTTGTCTGGGTTCCTTTCTTCCCCAAAGCAGAGAGTTCGACATCTTGATGCTTGCTCAAGCCTAAGCTGAAAAGCAAGTCAGTATTAATCCGACCTCCCCATGAGGCAGGGTGTGGCACAAGGCCAATTTTTATGTGGGGAACATCCGAAGCCATAGGCTCGGGCAAAAATTCCTCGTAGACCCCATATACATGGGGTCAGATTTGTCTAACTCCCCAGAAAAAACTACCTTTTGGTATAGCCTTATCTGGATTCCTCTCTGCCCGGAAGCAGAGAGTTCGACCTCTTGATGCTTGCTCAAAACTAAGCTGAAAAGCAAGTCCCCCTGAGACCAACACCATAGATACTTATATTCCTACAGGAATAGTTCATTTAATATGGGTGTATCAATTTTTTGTATACTGAGAGTTATCAGTTCATTCCTTACAACACAACAAAGATGAGGACAATCGTCTGCAGGTAAATAATGTAAACTCTTCCTCCTAGAAATTCAGAATGGTAAACCAGTTTATAATTATAAAATAATTCTGTACATTGTTATAAAGAATATAATTGAAAATAATGTGAAGTGTGTGTGTGGAGATGAGGCTGTTCTCCTGAAAAGAAGTTTTCCAGAGTTGGTGCTTGAACAAAATTGCTACTTAAATGTCATTCAATATAGATTCCAAGGTTCAAATCATGGGAAAAGCTCTCCTAATTTTGGTTTCAACAAGTCAAAGTATGACTGGCAGCTTTGAAGTGGTTAAATCAAATTCTAACTCAAATAGAGAGAAGGAAGACAAGGAAAGGGAGAAAGTAAAATGTGAAGTGGGGGTAGGATGAAAAAATGAGGATGAAGGAGTCAATGTAATTGATATCTGAGCTTGGCTTAAGTCATCCCTAAGGATCAGAAGTTCAAAGCTGGTTCAAGGGCATTTGCAGCTCTGACCTGTCATCGCTAATCTTAGATCAAAATAATAAAATCATTTAAGTGTTACCACATGGCATGAACTTCAGACACTACTTTAAATTTTTCATCACAGTTGGAAATGTTTCATTTGGTACTTAGAGCAACAAACTGACACCTGAAAGGCTTGATAATCTGTTGTAAGAACAATTTGAAAATTAACTGCTTGCACATCAAAATCTGTATGAGCCATAAAGTAGTAAAAAGTTTGTTTATAATAGTTTAAAAAAAAGTTTTCAAACCCTTTATAAAGCTGAAGATTGGGTAGATAGATTAAAATTAAAAAATATTTAACTAAAGATTGAATTGCTTATTTATGGCTTATCAATCCTTTGTGGGTGAATTAAGCCAAAACATATTTTAGATTGTAATACGCACACATCCTTTAACAAAAGGTGGCATTAGATGTAATTTCTAATAAACTGCCCCAATATGCTGCTATGTTAAATTTTAATCTAATATATAAAGCTTAGTGTTTTTATATGTACATGTATGTCCACTTGAAACCCTGAAAAATAAATATATAAAGCTATTGGAAAACTGTTGACCTTCATGCCTACGAAAAAGCAATATGAAAAGGATTGTTCTCCCCTTGTTATCATTTTTACTTTAACTCTTTTTACTCCTCAACAATGTTAATTGTTTTAAAAAGCAATGATTAGAATTGTAATAAAACCTAAACTTATACATTTTTTTTTATTCTTGAGAATTGACAACAATAAATATTTATTTATTAGATTGTTTATGTATCTTCCCTCTATTTTTTCTATAAATATTTCCATGGCAATTGTTCTAATGAACTTTCACCTTGGTACCTTAACTGCATGAATTTAAGCATATTACTAGATTGGCAATTAGGTCTCATTGTTTTACTGTTGAAATAAGTAGATATATCCATAAGTTCTATTCTAATAGGTTTTTTTTTCACACTTCTTGCATCATTGCCACCTATAATCTTCAAAAATTTAAATGCAATGTCAATTGCTATCTTCTGTTTTCTTGGATCCTGTTTTTTTATTGTCCTTTCTCTTCAGTAAAGTTTTTCTCATTATCTTCCATTTGGTGAATCCCAAATGAAATCTGACCAAGCTCAGCTGTTGGATACAATTCAGTCAGTAAGAGCTATTCAATCACAATTCCAGTGGAGAGTCCTAAACACGTGCGAATCCAAGAACAGTTTGATGTCCTCTTTGAAAGTTTTAATCCATGTTTATAGCTGTCCACCATGCTGGTTCTCCCAACCTTGGTGATGGTGGGGGTGTCTTTGAGCATAGCTTGTTGGAGAGAGAGCCAATTTTGCAGAGTTTAAAAGCTGGTATGCCCGAGCTGGACAATGTAGCTCAAATTCGGCTGTGCAATATGATCACCTCATGTTCATGTGTCTCACCCCTGCCAGTGAAACTCCCTCCCATATATCTCTGTTGCAACCCTGGAACCAGAGAATTAGGTTGGGTATGAAAAACAAATGTTTCAGTGCTCTAACCAAATCACTGCTATCCTAAGGTGTGTATGCATGTGGCTGGGGACCACTTGTGAATCCTAATTGAAACTCCTACTATGAATTTGCATGTCCAAATTAATACGATCTCTGTGGTAACTGATGTGCTTGCTGTCCCTGCAATGCGAGTGTCAAATGTGCAAGCTGGGTTGCTTAAATGCTGGGAATTTCATCACTTTGCCTGCTAGAATGCAAGGATTCTTAAATGGTCACCAACAATGATGATGCACTTGTACAGTCAAGTATCTCATGCTTTTAATCTGGGAGCACCTGAATGTACCCACAATAGCCCTGTATTTCAATACACCTATCACATGATCAACTAGAGATGCTGAAAATCTACAACTTTTGCAAAAGATTGTAGATTTCCAAAACCATACCTTAAAACCAGTAACACCAAGGCTGTGAAATGTGGTGTCATTTGAAAGAGAGGTCAGTTTACTTTCTGAAGAAGGCCAGAATGTACAATGGCTAAAATGTTGTGACAAAGATGAGGATAATAGTCCAAATAATGTAAATAGTGCAACTGTTTTTGAGATATACCAATTTAATTACAGTAACATGACGTCTTCAGATTTTTCAACAATTTAGTCAGGGCTCTGAGGCCTTAACTAATGAAATTACAGAGTAGACATTGCTTTCCTCTAGGAAGTTTGGTTAACAGACACTGGCAGCCAATCAATAAAAGCCTCACAAGCTGATGCCTTCTTCCAACTATATAACAGTGGCACTACTGACAATTCAGGGTAGAGTAGCCCTTGCCTTCAGTGAATGAGCCAATGCTGCAGTACTGCATTAGGAGCCAAACTCCCTCCACCTGGTGTGTGTGTGTGTGTGTGTGTGTGTTTGTTTAAAGAGCTGTCATTGTATGTTCCTACTCCACTGGTCTGATGACTACTTTTTCTTTCTTACCAAGAGAAACTTTTACAACAGTCTGCAGTCATTCATGCCCCTTTGAGAGATCTCATCATTATTGCAGGGGATAAGAATGTTTACACAGTAGGGGAAGAGATTTGAATACAAGCCAACATGGGATGATTGCAATTGGAGACTGTTGTGCGAATCGTTTTGTTAAGTTTACTACAACTAAACACAACAGTTATCTTGCTTGGGGTGAAATAATTAAAAAAAAACAAAAAACTGTTGAGTTATTAAAATAAAGCCATTTTTTTTACCTAGAACGTGGTAACTACCTGAGCATTTAAATCACAGCTTGAGGGAAGTAATCAATTTACAAAGAGGACTAAAAATGTTAACTACTTTAAAAGTCTAACAAATATTATAAGTCATGTGCTGTATATGAAATAAACAAATAAAATGCTTAAACCTGTTTAATTACAGTTACATTAATACCAGTTAAGGGTTAAATCATTTGTTTTTTCTGGTTTATCAACCCTTTGTTGGTTATTTAAAACTGGAGCATATTGTCAGTTGTAAGAATAATTCTTTTTGCAATCGAATATTGCATTCATAATTTTTGAGAATAACAATGATTTTTCCAGATATAACTAATATTTAACCCATAGTTGGTGGTAGGATATGGCTTCATACCTTACACAAATGTATTTTGCACATAAGCAAATGCAATGCACCCAACAAGAATTTGAAACTTGACACTTTGTTTTCTCATTCTGAGCTGTAATCCATTACACATTCCGCAAAGAAAATAGACTTGGCCTTCACAATGTTGGGTATTATTAATAGTAACTAGTAAAGACTAAAAAGGAATTTCCATGATAAAATTCTAATGCATCTATTTTAGTAGTTGTTGTTTGGAGACAGGATTCTCTGAGGAATTCTGCAAATAAGTCTTTATATTTTAACATGAGTAACGTATGAGACTTCCACTTCCTTATATTGGTCTTCAAATTAACCATAAATACAATTTTCAGAAATATTCCTGGATTTTATTTTAAAATTATGCTTATTACTTACTTTTTACTGTTTGCTTCAGTTTTGTTACCACTGACCTTTCGCGAATACTTTGACCTGAAATAAAAAAAAAAATAATGTCAGTAAATATTACACAAATAGATAAATAAAAGTGACAAGAAGATGTTGAAGATAATATTAGAACAAATTGAAAAGTGTTCCCATTTACTTATTTTTTTTTTACAGAGCTTTAATCTAGAGCTTTACAGGAGGCATAGTGGAGTAATGGAGAGCAGCTTGGATTGAGGAATCGGAGAGCCAAGTTTGAATTCCAGTTGAATCTATTACATTCACTTATGTGCTAATACCCTTGGGAAAGCTATGAATCCTCATCTTTTCCCACCAGGTAAATAGCAGGACAGACAAGGTTCTATAAACTTGGATGGTAACTGGTCTACTGCAGAAAAAAATCTGCCTCGTCTTGTATTTAATTCAAATAATTATATTGAAGTTTTCAGCTCTTGTTTTGAAACATGAGAACTCTTATGTAGCATTGGAATCATATTTTTAAATAAAAAAATATATATATATATATATATATATATATAAATATTTTTTTCTTAAAATGGCATTTCCAGGTCAAAATTGGGATCATGATTCCACTGGTATTCAAGGCATTGAATAAGTTGTAATTCAATGCCTTTATAAGCATATTCATTATTGAAATTAAGATTACTATGATAACAGCTAGAGCAATTGTTAAATTCAAAGTCCTTTTTATTTCAGTTTAAATTAAGACTAAAAATACATGGGATGCATAAATCTAGGTACCACCAAATAAACACGATACCTAAGGTTTAAAAGTAAATTTTTTCAAATGAAAAATCTTTCTTGAAGCTTTTATTTTAGTTTTAATTTCGAGCTAATAGATTAAATTTAATATTCTCAATTAACAAAATACTTTGTTGTATTTCAAAACTAATTTAAATTAACTGGGAGTAATTATTTTTTTAAATTGCTGATTAGTGCTTTATTTTTTTTTTTAACCCATCTGTCAGTACAATGTAATTCTCTTTATTAAAAAATTTTCAAAAATAAAATATACTTTCCTGAAACATTATTTGAGGAATATTAGATGATTCAAAGTTTAACTAATTCAATTTGAAACAAACATGATTTTGTAAAGTTTGTCTGTAAGAGTGACTTTGTAAATCACAGATACAATAATAGTAATACCGTTGAACAATACTCGCTGCTAATTCCCATATATATATATATATATATATATATATATATATATTATTTTACTCGTCATGCGATTTAATTATTTCAAGATGAGGTTGACTGTGTTTGTTCTCTAGCATTCTGTGTTCAAACCCAAGTGTCAGCAGTGACACTATTCCTATATAACACATTACTTTTTGTTTAAAACATTGCAGAAATGCATTTTTTAACATGGAAGTAGGTGCTTATGTAAGGTGTTGAAAGCTTTATTGACAATTGGAAATTTAATTCTTTTCTACAGGAGATATATCTGTAAAAATTACTTGAAGAATATAATGTTTGTGCCATTTATATAATTTTTAATTACCCAATAACCTTAAAAATTTAGGAAAATATTTTCCATAATCTAATGTTTTTATTGAATTTTAGGTACTTTGGCTTTAAATTTACTATAGTTAATGATCTTATTTTCTGACAGTGTTCTGTATGGACATCTGTATTTAGAAAAACTGATACATTTATACACACACAAAAAAAAAAAAAATTTCAAAATCCTTTTTAAAATATTGAAGGAAGAGCTAAGCTTTTTCATTTTGGATTAGTAAATATAGTTTTTACTTAATAACAATATCACCTAATCAGTAAAAATTAATACAGAATTTTAAAAGATTTAAAACTTTATAAATTATTCTAATTAAGATTAATTAAAAAATGAAAACAAATCTTGTAAAATTTCATTATTCATTAATAAGAAAATAGTGTCCATAATATATCTTATTCATAAAAGCAATTAAAAGTTTTTCTAATTAAATAATGTTTTACATTTATTGCATTTTGTTATTTTACAATTAAGAGCAGATTTTCAGTAACTTGGGTTCCTTTTTTATAAAAACAAATTGAGGATTTAAATTCTCCAGAGTTCTGTTTATAACTAATATAAACATGAAGTAGTACAGAAATGAACTTGTTTAAATTTCATAAAATAAATATGTGTGTGCATGTGTGGGGGGAGAGAGTGTTGGTAAAATATTAAAAAAAATATTTAATATGAAACATTTCTAAAATAATTTCAATCATTTCTGAATAAGTCCTAAAAGTTTCAAAAAAAAAAAAAAAAAAAATGAAAAAAATGCTCAAATTTCTTATACTACAAGAAATCCTTTGGTCTTTCAAATATTTTGACAATAAAACTTTTTTTTTATTAAGTTTCAGGCATTTTTTTCATCATGTATGTTCATTTTTAGAAAATCTTTCAAGGTACCTACATAAATATAAAAATAAAAAAAAATAAGATTGAGTTGTTGTTAAAATTTTTATATATATATATATATATATATATATATATATATATATATGTGATGAAAATATATAGAACATAGGAAAGAAATTTCGTTAGATAAATAATCCAAAGTTTCTTTAGTATTTTTTTATTATTTTTAAAAAATAGTGCTCGATACAAATATATATATATATATATATATATATATATATATATATATATATATATATATCAAAAGGGTGTCTCTAAAAATGTATACACACAATTTTATGGTGTATATCTCAAAGCAACTTGCTTTTCTTCCAGATTTATGCATTAGTATTACTAATGTCATCCAGATTTAGCTTTGAACAAAAAGTCCATCCTAAAAAGCAACTGGAATTACAAAAATGCAGTTCAAAGATGGTTTCAAAAAGAGTTTCATTTAGATCCACCCATGCAGCTTAGAATCTGATGGATCAGAGATAATTTTGAAGCTGATGGTATTGTACAAGAACCATTCCAGAAGACCATGAATATCAACCACACCCTGTGAGGCAAGAAAGGGTGGCGGAAAGGTTTCACAGAAGCCCAAGAAATCTACGGAAAAGTTGGATTGATGCTTGTGATTCCATTGCATCAGTCAAATTGTCAGCAATGTCTGGATCATAACGAACATCTATTGGAAAACATGCAATGTCCAAATCTTAATAGCAAGCATTTATAACAAATACTGTCTTCATAGACATTTTTTTTCTTTTTTAAGCATTTCACCCCAAGCAATATTTATTGCCACTAGCACACAAGAGGTTACAGAGAGTTGGAGCAAAAGTAAAGAGGCGTGATGAAGAGAAGGATGAAGAGAAGGGCAGGGAATTAGTTCAAGGCATCTGAAGATGTCGATTGACATTGCATTTGAATAATTGAAGAATATAGCTATCGAGGAAGCAAGTAAGAGGAAGGGAATTCCACAGATGGGAAGTGCAAGACATGAAGCTATTGGAGTAGAAGAGAGCTACATTTAACAGTTTTGACATTATTTAATTTAGATATAATTGCTTCTAGTTGCTTGAATTTCTTCTTCAGAAAGTTTCAAAATGTTTATACATTTCATTGAGATACCATGTATGTTTGTGCATATATATATATATATATATATATATATATATATAATTATAAATTCAAACTTTGACAAAAAAATGATATTTGCCAAAAGAATGACTGAATTAAAGAAGTGCTTGATACAATATTTTCATTAAACAAAAATATTCAGATATAGAATATCTAAGTCACTAACCTTCCTGTAACCATAATTTCTACTTGCTGCCTGACAGAGCCATCTTGGTAGAAACTGTAGTTGCAGGAAGGTCATAATCAATATATATATATATATATATATATATATATATATATATATATATATATATATATATAAATATATATTATATTTTAAAAAATTGAATTTTTTAAAATCTTTTTTGTAATCTCTTATAATAAAAAATAATAATATTAACCACTCTACTTTGTATTGAGCACTTTTTTTTTATAAAATTCTACAAACTGTGGATTTTTTACTCTATTTGTTCTTTCTCACATTTGGATATATATATATATATATATATATTTACTCTATTTGTTCTTTCTCACATTTGGAGATGTATATATATAAAAAATCCATATATATATATATATATATATATATATATATATATATATGTGTGTGTGTGAATGTCAGTGAGCAAATAAAAAAGAATTCTGGACTGGATCTGGTCCCACAATCCTAAAATTTTGGATTCCCAAGTTTTCATTTCTGCGATTGTTTTCAGTGAATTTTTTTTACATGATTTTTTTCAACAAATTTTTATGTACGATAGCAATTTTTATAACTTGGAAATAAATTTGGGAATAATTGAAATTAATTGTGAAATCCAACGAAATTCACCTATGAAATAAAAATAAATGTACAGAAAATAAGGACCTACTTACATCAAATTGTCTTTAAATTAAGTGGCGGCAGAAGAATTGTCGTTGAACTTTTTAAAGGTAAACTTATGTATTAAAGCAATACTTAAATGCAGAAATCAATTTTGAGTTCTTCTGTAGTTTATTGTTGTATATTGCATCTACTCTTCCCTATCTATTGTGATGAAGGCCCAATCAAGAGCCCTTCACAGGAGCTAGCTTAAAGGATGCTTGATAGGGCAGCATTTAAGCTAATATATATATTACACTTCCACTTTCAGGGTGGAGAAACGTAGGTACAATACAAAATTGGCAGATCATGCTTGGAAATTAAAGGATGAACATGGCAAAAGGCCAAGGACAAAGGGGACTATCTTAAAAAAAAAAGTCAAACCGAGCAGAACAATTGATAGAAGTTATAGGCTATGCCAGGAAGAGAAGCTGGCCATAGCAACTTATAAAAACAGTAGTATGCTGTTAACTAACAGAACTGAAATAATGTATATGTAAAAATATCCTCAGTCTCGATGACCACCAGATGAAGTTTTTTTTTTTTCTACACCTCCTCCCCTTCTCTACTTCCGATGTCATAGTTGTATAATTGCAGTGTGGAATTATGAACACTTATTGCCTGCCAACTGAAGAGACCTGACAGTTAAAACCAAGGTTGTGTGCAGTAACATAATGTATTTTTGTTCTATTATTATTTACTTGCCCTGCAGGTCCTTTTTGAGCACTTTTTGATATACATCCATTTTCAGGCATGGGATTTTTCCAGCCTCTTAACAGATTTGTTTATACATATATATATAAATAAATTTCTAGTGGTAGAAAACTTTATAACAGCAAGGAACAAGCATAATTTAAAGAAATTACACTTGTTCCTTGCTGATTATATATATATATATATATATATATATATATAATAAAAGATTATTATAAAATCATTGAAATTGTAGTGATTTCAATGTTTTATTATAATTTTTTATAATAATAATAATATATTACCCTACTTTGTATTGAGCAATTTTTTAAAAGTAAATGCTATGAACAGTGGAATTTTACTCCATCTGTTCTTTCTCTCATTTGGATATATATATATATATATATATATATATATATATAAAAATGAGAGAAAGAACAGCTTACCCTGAAGATCTGTTTAGGTGAAACCTAGGTAGATTTTCCCGGGTCTTTAGGATTTATTTTAGTTATTCTCACTCTACTTAGCGTATTGAGCAATCTATGTTTTAGTCTTACTACTTGCTTGTTGTTTTTTTTTCTTTTCTTTGGACTAAAGACTTAAGGAACTAGATGATTTGTTTAGCCCTGTTCTGATTTTTAGTCCTTTATTTAAAATTAATATATATATATATATATATATATATATATATATATATATATATATATATATAAATATAAATATATATTATTTATATTTATATTTTATATTTATACAAAAATATATATATATATAAAAATACAATTATATATATTTAAATATTATATATATTATACATTTATATTTATATATATATATATATATATATATAAATATATATTTATATATTTACATTTATATTTATAAATTATATATATATATATAAATATATATTATATATATTTACATTTATATTTATACAAAATATATATATATAAATATATATATATATATTTACATTTTATATTTATACAAATATATATATATATAAATATATATTATATATATTTACATTTATATTTATACAAATATATAAATATATATTATATATATTTACATTTTATATATATATATATTGAAATATATTTACATTATATATATATATTATATATATTTACATTATATATATATATATATATATATATATTATATATATATATATATATATATATATATATATATATATATATATATATATATATATTTATATATATATATATATATATATATATATATATATATATATATATATATATATATATATATATTTTTATTTGTATTTAACATTTATATATACCATATATATATGGGAAAGTGTTTGTATTTACCTGATTTACTTAATTTTCCTTCCACTGTAAATGCTTTGGCATCACTTTCTTCCACTCTGCTTCTCCAAGAGCTTTGTGAAGATTTCAATAAGGACATCCTTTCTGACAGATTGGCTGGACGAACAGGAGTCGAGTCTGGACTGGATAACCGAATTTCCCTGTCGGGGCTTGGGCTTGCACTGTTGCTTGGTTTTGACAGGCGTTTCTTCCAATCTTCTTCCCCACTCTTTTGTAAAGCTTGAAGCCTGGAAAACAAAAAAATTGGTTTCAAATATTAATAATATAGAAATAATAACCTTTGCTCATATAGGATACAGAATATTTGAGAGAAGCAAACCAAAAAAACAAGAAAAAAAGCATGGATTAACGTTGCCATATGAAGGAAAGATATTCTTAATGAGTTCTTAATTAAAATACAGGATTTATAAAAATTAATAAAACTCTTGCGCATTTAATTATAGGAAATGTTCAGAGAGCAAGGTGTTCATTTCCAAATGATTTCATTGAAAAGTTGACAAAATCATCTTTTGAAATTCAGTTTTTTTTTTTTTGTTTATTCATTTTAGAAAAAATCCAGAAATTTCCTGAAATCCTGCTGTCATTGCATTATTTACACTAATATCCTCATCCCTGTTGCTTTTATTTCTGTAGTTTTTAATATTTTCATTGTCAATTCTCAAAAACAAAAAGAAATGTATCAATTCATATTCATCAAGGAACAGAAATGGGGATGGAGCGGCCACTGACTCTGCAAGCTTTCTTCTAGTGTCACCAGGAAGGCAGGCAGGCAGGCAGGCAGTCCCTTGACTGGAATTCACAAGGAAAGCAAAAAGTGGGTTGACCAAAAGAGACTTAGGGCAGAAGTGCTGACGTAGAGGTGAAGGCAACCAACATGACATAGGTCGAACTAAAGAGGATCACCTGGAACCACGTCTGTTGGAGAGGTGTTGTTGCAGCCATATGTTCCCCACCCATTGGTTTCAACATTGCTTCATTCTGGTGATCGATCAATAACCAATATTTCAACGTGATATGGCTGTAACATACCATTGATTAATAGAAGAAATATTTCCCAAGGAAGGCCAAAGGGCACATTGATGGGATAGCTATGATAAAAACAACAAAGATAAGGATATTCAGATTATTAATAGAATGATTAATTTGAGAAAAACTTATCTTAGTCATTTCTTGCGTTTTTATAAAAGATCAAACCTTGTCGAAGTCACAGAAAAGAAGCCAAAAACAAAAACAAACTACATTAGTAATACTAAATAAGTAATGTGCATGTTTGTGCATATTGTTTAAAATTCTTTTACCTTTTTTTATGTGTAAATATGCGAATATATATATATATATATATATATATATGCATATTCACACACAGATGTATATGCAAAGGAAGTTGAAATGTTCTTGCCAAAAATCTAACAATTTTCAAAATTTTTATCAGAAAAGCTTGATAGGTTGAAAACTTATCAGCATCTCATTATATATATATATATATATATATATATATATATATATGAGGAAACACTGATGTTTTTAAATGGATGTGTTTTTTTTCATGGCTCTAAGAAAGTGACATTAAGGAAAGTCTTGACTGTTTATATTTTAATCATACATTATTCTTATATTTCTTGTTTATTATAATATTTAGTTACGTTATTTACAGTTATATATTATACACACACACACATACATACATACATACATACATGCAATTATACACCCCACCCAACCTATATCTATATAAAGCACATATACACATTATGCTGAGTTTACTTTTATATGAAGCCACAAGTGTGGGGTACTAAATAAAGACCTTATTCTTTGACTCCCAACAAAATATCCCCCAATCACCATATGGACATCCCCCCAATAAACAGCATAGACACTACCAGAGTTGAATAAAAATGACCACTACAGCCTGTCTGAAGTTATTATGCAAATCAAATCTCAATAACTCAAAAAAATTCCAAACCAATATTTGTCAAATTGAAACTTGTCCATTTCCACCCTTAGTAAAATATTAACTAATTTTTTTGCCATCTTTAATGTTTAGTTTTTGAGATATTTGGAATTTACAAAAACGGACTGACTGAAGTTAATATATAGATAAAAGTAATATTAGCTTAAGACCTCTGAAAATCTAATGAAAAATATTTTTTTTTGTCCATATATGTTGAAACATGGGTAAAGGAAAGGATCTAACAACTGTGGAAAAACAGAAAATAATGAAGTTATTAAGTGAGGGAATGTCTACTTTGGAGATAATCAACAAAGCTTTGCAAAGATCCTCAAACAATAATGGGTACTGAAAATATAAGAAAGTTGAGAACTCAAAGCAAAGGAAAAGGCTTTAATTATTTGCTTCCTCAAGATGAATGTAAACTAAAACGAGTTATAGTGAAACAAGCACTTTTGACTAGTGTTAAGATCTTTGAAAAGGCCGGAATTGAGGGCATCAAGAAGGACAAAAGGTGTAGAATACTTTGTGAATTGGGATCTGTAAAAAAAAAAAAAATACTCCTAGGCAACCTTCTCTCACTAAAGCAAATATTTTAAAGTGTCAAAATTGGGCCAAGAAATACATAAAAATTGACTTTTCTAAAGTAATTTTCATGGATGAATCTTGAGTGACATTTGACTTGGTGGATGGGCCAAAAGATGGATTTTATCCAATTCAGACATGCCTGTGGTTAAAATAAGGCAACAAGGAGGCAGTAGTGTTATGATATGGGCTGGAATTGTCAACCAGACCATTATTGGGCCATTCAAAGTCAATGAAGGAGTTAAACTGAACAATGTTAACTATTGTGATTTCATGAACAAGGATTCTTTGCATGGTGCAAGCCCCAGTCTTGCAGTTTCAAAGTGAAGTGTGTATTTATGCACAAAAATGCTCCTTCTCATGTATCTATGTTTACCTGTGAATTCTTTGAGCAAAAAAAAAAAAAAAGATTTACAGGAGAGAAGATAATGGAATGGCCACCATCAAGTCCTGATCTGAATCTGATTGAAAATCTATGGTCAATTGTGAAGATGAAATTATATGAAGGTGGCAAACAATATAACAGCAAAGAAGATATATGGGAAGTAATTAAAACTATCATGTTGGAAATTGAACCTGCTGAAGTAAAAACATTAACAAAATCAATGGATGATAGAAAGACTTATATGTGCTTGTTATTTGTTCTGTTGATGATTTTATTACTTTTTTTATTGAATTAAAATGTGATTATTTGGTTTTGCCTAATAATTTCAGATGGCAGTTTTTTTTTAGAAGACATCAAATAACTTCAATAAAACATATTGATACTACTGAAAATTTTAAATCAGGCTTTGTTTTGACATCTAAATTGTTTGTTTAAAATTTGACAATGATTTTTCAAACCAAATTTGAATTATTGAAATTTATATGATTTGCTTAATAATTTCAGACAGGGTGTAGATATATAAATGTGCAGATGATGATCACATGATTTTTTGTGGAGATTTTAGTTAAGATAAAAATCATTTTTTAAAAAGAATTGTCTTGTATATTTGCTATATAAGACTACATTGAGAAAACCATATTCTGAAGAAGTCCTTTTGCAGGACAAAATGTGTAATATAGTTATGTTATTAGCATCATGTTTTGGGTTGATTCATTCTGCCGCCTTCAAGTATAAAATCTGTATTTTTCTCTCTGATTTGCCTTACCTTCCCAACACTACAGAAAAAGAGACCATTTCCTTTCTATCTGGTTTGTGAGCCTGAAGGTGGCCATGACAACAATTGTCTAAAAGAATATGGTTTCAGCAAATTGAACTAATTTAATAAATCAAATGATTTTTGAACAGATTTATCATATTTTAGTCAAGCTAGAAAGCACATAGTCCAAGTTCCTCATGCAGATTTTATCAACAACGTTGCTTCTTTGCTAAGGAAAAGATTTTTTAAAGCCGTATTAAAACATGCAATTAGAAGCTTGAGCAAAAAGATAAAATTAAAAGCAAAACACTTTTATCCTTTTATGGCTACTGAGCAATATCCCATTAAACAATTTCATCTTGCTACACAACCTGTATTATAAAAAAAAAATCTTACTTTTCCTGCCATAATAATCAAAATAATTATCTTAAAATAAATGCAACTTGTTCAGAAATTGCTAAAAATTTATTAAATAACCATTAGTGATCCTATAACCATTACATTTTCAGTACAGAGAAAGGCTAACTCAGAACTTTGTTTGAAGGTATTTGGAATCTATTTATATTAAGTTCTGCCAGCCATCCCTCTGTAAGCAAGCTTAAATTTAATTAACCTTTGATATATATTTATTATATAACATCCAGTCTTTGGTGTTTATTTTAGTTGCTGTTCACATTTCTCATCCTCAATTGAGCCCTGGTGAGAGAGAATCAATAAATTGGTTAAGGTGATTTTTAAAAATATGTTTTGTATTTCAATATCACCATTTTTTGGTAATGTAAATTTGTTATTACCTCTCTTTGTTATTTTTTCCTTTTGTTTTATCTGGTTTAGAAAATAAACAATATTTGAATAATATAAACTACATGAATGTCAGTACTCTTCATGTTTATTCAACAGGAGCAGAAGTTTATCTTTTGTTTATCTTTCCTGTTTAGGATATGATTTACCCATTCCTTTTTTCTCTCCCATGGCCTTGATCATTTAACTGTCATAACATCTTGATGATCTGACTGATCAGTGGTTGTGACTTTTCATTGTGAGGGTACCAATGTGTCAGTTTTCTGATTGCTGCATTGCAACTTGTAGTTACCAGCCCAAATTCTTTGGTCGTACTTCAAGAGGCTGTGCTTGTCAACAGTCACATAATATCAGGGTATTTGCATGTTCCACATCATGCATGGAGAGGTGTCCCTGCATATACTTTTGGTGGGCAACCCTGTGGCTACATTAGGACTTAACCACCTTCAGGTCAGTTTGTATTGCCATAGACAATGGACAATGATTATTATTTTGGCCTTCTTTTCTTGAAAACATTATCTTGTTCTTCTATTGTTCTCTCTGCTTTTAATGATGAAATTATGTGCGTGTGTGTAGGAAATAGAGCAAAGCATTGGTTATGATCATGCCCTGAGGAGAAACGTTGAAGATGTCGGAACATTAGCATTTCCCCTCTGTACATAATTATGAAATAAGTCACATTTATATTCTCCCTCCTACTCATATATAATTTCACCAGTAAAAACAATACTTCAGTCTAGAGGATGAAACC